AATTATAATCTGGAGCAGGTATCCAATTTTGTCGATCTTGGTATCACAATGGATTCCAAACTGAATTTCAACCATCATATTAATGTTACAGTCAATAAAGCCAAAGGCGTTTTTGCATTTGTAAGGCGATGGTCAAAAGAGTTCAAAGATCCTTATGTTACAAAAGCTCTTTTTACCAGTTTAGTTAGACCTATACTAGAATACGGATCTATTGTTTGGAATCCCCGCTACCAAGTTCATTCAGAAAGGATTGAATCAATTCAAAAACATTCTTGCTTTTTGCATTGCGTAATTTTAACTGGGATTCAGATTACAATCTCCCCCCTTACACAAGTCGTCTAAAGCTCATAAATTTGCCTACACTCGCAAGTCGTAGAGAAATGCTGGGTATAATATTTATCGTAAAATTAATGACAGGCTTGATTAATAGCCCGGCCCTCCTGGCTGAGGTAAATTTTAATGTTCCTTCTCGAATGTCAAGACACTTTCGACCTCTATTTTTAAAGCCATGCAAAACTAATTTTGAACTAAACGAATCATTCCGTGCTTTGTGTCAAGATTTTAGCTGTCATTCCAGCACGTTTGACGTATCGGACTCGATTTTTACTATAAAGAAAACTATTATTTCCACTCTCAATAATTGAAATACTATCTTTAGCATATCCAATCAGCTGATGAATTTGATTCTGTAGCTGAATAGTTTTAGATCTCGACACTTAACAAACTCCTGTTTCCACTACTCGGCACGAAAAAACTAAAAAAACTAAAAAAAAAAAAAAAAAAAAAAAAAGGTTCCGTACGTCATGCGGACTGCGCCCCTCGTGTCGGTTGGGCGGGAATGGAGGGTAAAAAGCCGTTGGGATTAATTAATTAATTAATTAATTATACTAAAATTTAATGGGCTATAAAACTGCATAAACGAAATTTTCCTTACAATTTCGGTTACAAAATTTGAAGTTTTGATGAAAATTTTATGAATTTTTCTTAATTTCGTACAAAATTTCAAAGGTTTGTTAAACAAGTATTTGTTATAGCGTGAATTATATTTTTGAAAAAATTAAACTTTCTTTTATAAATGTACGAAATTCTACTTCATAAAAAAAAATAATAATGGTGGTACCTTTTGCGTGAACGCCAGTGTAGAAAGGTTAATTAGTTTGCATTTAAGATAGACTTCATTATTTGCTAATTACTATTAGCCGCTCTCTCTTAATACCGTAAATGGTCAGAAAGGTTCAATAAAATCCTGTTTACATACCAGATGTTCAAATACCACTACAATCGGTGATTCTTTGCAGTATTAAAACTGCATACCACAAATTCCCAAGAATTTGTTTGCCATTTGAAAAGCGCACCATGCAAGCTAATGCGATAAGGAGCAGTCGCCAAAGAAGCGCTACGACGACAACAAAGCTTACACGTTTTCACAAACATTCCCCCAAATGGCCATCGCAATCGCCATCGTCGTCGCCGTCGCCATATTCTAGTGGCCATGTGAAGAGAAAGCCGACAAACCACGGATCAGCCAGCCAATGACCAACGAATGGCAATTAATGCGACAACAAAAAGAAAAACATTAACTTTTCGCCGAATTGAAGTTACTACCGGTTTTTTTTGTTTCATTACGTTTGCAGACATAAAAGACAACAAGGAAGGGGGAAGCGCAAGCATTTTGTTTATAAGTGCAGCTATAAATGAGGCGATTCCAAAGTTTAATACACACACAAAGGCATACATAAATAAGTAAATATATACTGTACAAGTACATATATATGTAATATGTATTTTGAAAACCCGCTGCATAGCTGTAGAGTAATGAAGCGTGGAGGTCAAGGTCCCCACCGCAGCTGAACAAGTTTGTGTGCGTGCAAGCCCAAAGCCAGTGCGGCTACGTGATGTGCGAATCAGTCATGGCTGGCTACTGCAAGGCAGCAAATGATATTCGTTTGTACATTAGGGTGGTCCCAAAATGCATGTGAAAAAGGGAAGTCGGAATTTTTATGCTCTCACCCCCTAGGATTGTAGAGGTCGCTCAAAGCGCTCAAAGTTTTCCATGTATTTTTTATGGGGAAAAAATCACTTTTCGTAGAAATAGTATAGAATGCCTGCAAGTCAATATTTTTCGATCGGAAAACTCCATTTCTCTTCAGGAGATTCCCAATAATAATACCCAATTATTTATTTAACCATTTTTTCGTAGTAACTATATTTTATAGACCCGCCAAAAATCACAGAAAATGCAATGGGGGCATAAATAAAAAATTTTTAGTATTAAAAAATGGTCAAATAAACAGTTGGGAATTATTATTGAAAGTCTCCTGAAGAGAACAGGAGTTTTTCCATCGAAAAATATTGATTTTCAAGAATTCCATACCATTTCAACGAAAAGTGGCTTTTTCCGCATATAAAATACGTGGAAACTTTGAGCGCTTTGAGCGACTTCTAAATATTTTTTGATTTCAAAATAAAAAAATGTGGGTATCCTTTTTTCGATGTAGAATAATCTTAGGCGGCGAGAGCATTAAAATTCCGACTTTGCTCACTTTGGACCATCCTATTGTACATACATATGTACATAAATAAGTACTTGGTGTGGCGTGTTGGTATGGGGTATGGAATGGAACGTGATGTGCGCGCAGATTGCACTAATTTAAATTAATGCCGCCACTAAACGAAAGCCTCGGGATGAATGAATGCAGACATAAAAAGCTAAATAACAAAAGTCTGGAATTAAAATTGTTTAGCAATGAAAGATTATTACACACAAACATATATGTATATGTATATATATGTACATTTGTATGTGTGCATATTACAAGCATATATGTACTTAGAGCATGTTATGCATGAACGAAAGACACAAGATCACGCGGGACGGAAAGAACGAAAAAAGTTAAGCTGATGTCACATAAAACTTTTGCTTCGCTTTACGTGACAGATTCGCTTTGACAGATAAGATGAATTGTATGAAAATGCACAAAGCATGCCACATAAATCGTTGAAGCGGCAGCGCGAAGCGAAAAGATGGTCAACTCCCTCCCATCTTTTTGCGCGCTTTGACAATCAGCCGGTATAATATTTATTTTGTTTCGTCCAAATTCGGGTTTTCATGCAGAAACATAAAACTTAATTACATTGCTGATAATTTTAAATCAAAATAATTAAAATCCACAGCAACTTTGATGAGTAAAAAAGCGGTACAACATTGTTTTCTTGGCGTTCATTGTGGCATACCTTTTGCGTCTGGCGCTTTGCTGGCAAAGTTATAAATGTCACGCAAAGCTACAAAGTTTTATCTGGCATCAGCTTTATTTTCTAGCTGCCGAAATCTCGACGCCATTTTTGCTGTAAGAAGTAAACAACGAAGAGAACGGAGAAAAACGCGAAATTGTTGAACGCATGAAAAATTATTTTTATTATGCAAATTCTTCTAAAAATCATGCCGTTGTGTTAAATTATTCTTTATCTTATGTGTACACACGTTGTCACAAGCGAAAATGAAGAAAATTGCAGTAAAAAGCCACCACCAAATTGTAAACAACGAAGAAATGTAAATAAACGGCTAATGTCAAAATCGTTCAACTTTTTTTCCTTAATGCGATTCTAACGGGCTACTCTCCTGCCCGCGTGATCTTGTCTTTTTGGTTCATGCATGTTATGTTTGATTGCAGATAGACCTGTGAAAAGTATCGAAATAAAAATTGTATGAGTGTAACAACGTGCTTAGATTTAAATATTTACGTTTGCCTGTGTATTAGCATGTAATAAAAATTGCAAATAAATTCGTTATCTATCATGATTAATGCTGATTCACTACTCATCATGGTCCAGACTATATATGTATGTATTTAACTGTTGTCTATGCGGCCAGCGCAGGTGTTTTGTTTATGCTTCCAAATGCGCCAGCTATAATATGGCACAAAGCAAAAAACAGTTAAGTAAACTTTCAAAAAACCTTAGCTGTTTATGCGGTACCCATGAAAGAGTGGTGGAGCCAGTAACTGAACGATGCAGTAAACTTAAAGCAGAATGCGAAAAAAATCAGCAGCTGCTTTGATCAACCGTAACATGTTCTATTTTCGAGCGATAGTAAACTGCTAACAATTCGACTGATTGGTAAAGTGGTAAACTGACTGCTAAATGTAGAAGTTAATAGAATCAAGAGGCGTCACGTTCTTTCATACAATTATGTAATAAAAACTATGAAACATTTATGTAAAGATTATATGTAAATATGTTGAAAATACGGGTAAACGAATTTTTGTACATTAGGCTGCATCACTCCCCATACAAAAAAAAAAATCGGTACTCTTTTTCCATTGGATATATAAAATCTATTATATTTTAAGACGTCCACCAAAATATTTCGGAAGAACATTAAGATTTACGTGAGCTGAACCGATTTGAAAATACCTTCAAAAATGGAGTTTTTTATGAATAAAAATGGGAGTGTCTATTTACACGCGCCACGGTAACTTTTACCGTGGATCCACGGTAAAAAATACCGTGGATCTACGGTAAAATTACCGTGGATCTACGGTAAAAATTACCGTGGATCTACGGTAAAATTACCGTGGATCTACGGTAAAAATTACCGTGGATCCACGGTAAAAATTGCCGTGGATCTACGGTAAAAATTACCGTGGATCTACGGTAAAATTACCGTGGATCCACGGTAAAAAATTACCGTGTATCCACGGTAAAAATTACCGTGTATCCAAGGTAAAAAAATTACCGTAGAGCCACGGTAAAAATTTACTGTGGATCCACGGCAATTTCTGAAGATTTTTGCTTGACGAAGAAGATGTTTGATTTCCGAAGTGCGCGAAGAACCACCTTTTTAATGTAGATGTGCGGTAAATGATATTTTTTTTTTAAACGACTTCAAAGAAAACTAAGAGGTTATCTATTCGACATGTACATATGTCGTATGTGTGTATGTGTGTATATTTGTTAATTGTATATGTATGACATAAACAAGACCACTAATCAGAGAAGAAACGGAGATTACGAGCTTGCCCATTCAGATAACATACTCAGAAAGGTAACAAAAACTTCCTCTGAAGATTCAAAATCTCTAAATTTAGATTTTTGGCGTTCCTTCCTAGCGTTTTAAAGAAATTCTCGATGCGAAATTAACATATGATAACATTATAACAAGGCACAGACCTCTGTCTACTTTAACTGAGCCAACCCAGAACCCAGAGATACCGATCGATTTAACTCGCCAATTCCCGAATAGCAGCACTGATTCAGCTCATAACCGTTTGCCGGAAAAGGTCGTCCTGGAAGAAGAAAATCCCAAAACCCCACCTTCCGCTGCTGACCACAAAGAAACGCCTTTGGTGTTGCCATCTTTACAGCTTCAAACTTGTAGCAAGATTAACGAGGCGACAATTGATACTCTTTTTGGAATAAAAGATGTTTGTAATGTCGGAAAGCCTAGAGGAGCCCCCAAAGGCCGAAGGACCACAGTGGCTGGGATACCGCTCCCAAAGGAAGAAGGGAACAAACGATTGCTACAACAGCATCAACGCGCTGGAGGCAGAGAGGTGGCTAGAGGTCAACGAGCGTCCAGGGGTAGAAGTCGTGGGGCAACTCAAAGTTGGGGCCCAAAAAAATTGGACGACGACAAAGTTGGTGGAGTAGCCTTTGATACAAAAAATAATAACACCAAACTTGAGATGATGCTGAAATGGCTACTGATGTCAAATTATGTGAAAGGACGAGATTTCACGTCTTCAAAAATCAAAAGCAGCGAAATCGACACTGCCAATTTGAACGATTCTTTCATTGATACCCGAGGCGATCATCTAAAACTTTTAATGCCGTGCATGGAGAAAGATACATTTGAAACATTTTTGGTTACTCTTGGAATGAAAAGAGCTAAAGATGATTACAAATGTGCTGTATGTGGAGGAAAACATCATCAGTCGTGTAAAAATGTTATACGTTGTGACGGATGTTACCTATGGCATCATTGGGTGTGTGTGGAGATAAAGAGGAAGCCGGTTGGCGATTGGTTCTGTGCCTTGTGCTCTATGGAAAAATAGGAAAATACAGCAACAACGCGCAGTAGTTACTTATCGACAGTAAGATATCATGGTTTGTTTAATCATACACAAAATAATTTAATCATACAGAAAATAATCATTATTTGTTAAATTTTAACCAGAAAATCAAAAGTTGTAATCGTCGTAAAACAGTTTTATCTATACTGACGTATTTCTATTCGTACCTTCTACTGTAATTTACGATGATCTTTATTTTTCGAGTTTAACCAATAAAGATTAAAGATAATAATTAATATTCGAATGTCATTTTTTCGCTCAAAGGTTATTATTATTGCACGATTTTTATCAACTAATTAACGAATTGATTTTTGAATGAATGGCAGTAACTTAGGTATTTACATACATCTATCGTGATACATCTATATGAGAAATTAGGATTGTTCATTCACGTTGGAAAAATAGATAACCTCGGGTCCACACTAATTTTTGTCGTAGATCTACTGTTAAAAAATACAGTTATTCGCACGCTTCGAAAATCACTGTGAATCCACGGTAATTTTTTTCCGCGGATTCGCGGTAAATACACCGTGGATCGACGGTAATTTTTACCGTAGATCCACGGCAATTTTTACCGTGGATCCACGGTAATTTTACCGTAGATCCACGGTATTTTTTTTTTAAAATTACCGTGGATCTACGGTAAAATTTACCGTGGCGCGTGTGTGTAGACACTGCCAATAAAAATAGTTTCTTAGTTTGTTTTTTTTTTAAATCCCCTCAAATGACAAAGCGGTTTAAGCTTAAAAAAAATTGCATACAAATATTAAAATATAATAGATTTTGTATTCCCGGCAGAAAAACCGCAACTTTTTTTGGTGATGCAGTCTAATGTACACACATGTATGGACCTGCAAACCAAAGTTCCCGAAATCTTTAGGAGTATCTCATTTCTGTAACGAATTTTCTACGACTCTTCAGAGAAAATTATATGAAGTGGTTGACACGAACCCGTAAAGAAATTGCTATACGAAAAATTAAGAAAGTTGTGAAAAAATTCTGCAAGAAATTCTTCACATAACAGGATTATTTTCATTGCTTTACCGATTTTCTTCCGAAATTTCTCAAAAGAATCGAAGTGGGCACAGTTTATTTCATTTTAGAAAATTCGGCAATAAATCAGACGAGATCTTTACGAATTCCTTAAAATTTCTCTTCAATTCAGAATACTCCGAAAAAATGGTTTGCAGGGGATGTACCTACAGATAATTAAAATTTAAAAATGACTTTAAGTCAAGGCAGAACCTTTTTTCTGAATTCGTGGAAGGTATCAAGCCATGAACGTCATTCTTATGTAAAAAAGAAAGCTACATACACGTTAGGGTGCTTTTGTTTGCGACTATTGTATCTTTTTCACTCCTACCTCGAAATTTTGTGGAAAACAATTAAAAAAAAATCCCTGAAATTTGAATTCAATTTTGAAGGAAAGCCGTCATTGGCCATAATTATATCATAAAATGGCTCTGAGCTGTAGAGTTTTGAAAAAAAATCTAAATTTACGTGTATTCTATATGGGAAATCTTTGCACGTCTCGGGCGAGTAGAGAGTAGAGTAGAGGCATCTAGCTTTGGACCCCTTTGCGACACGCCTTAACCGTACCCAATTGGGACAAAAATTTATAGGTGATATCTATGACCGTGGTATTACCGCTTGAGGGGGTGAGGGTGGTCCAAAAAATTTGTTTTTCCATCCTCTCCCAGAAGTGCAAAATATCGAAAATAAGGAGACCCTTGTTTTAGTTTGAAATCGGTTAACAATGAATAATGCCGCCGGGGGGTTTACTATATATTTTATATGGTGAGAAGTAAATTTTTTCATAGAATTGCTATAAAATCATTAAAAAAAATATCTTTTAATAAAATAAAACATTTACTTCGGAAATCTTCTAAGAATATAATTATGATGCAAATTTAACTCTAAAAATTCATATAAAATAAAATACATAGTATATATAAAAATTCATGCGCGGCGCACAGTGTACGATTTGGGAGTGTCGATGGATAAAAGCGTAAATCTCTCCATAGGAATAAGATAAAAACCATGCGTTCGAAAGCTGGCAAAATGGCCTACGAAGAAAAAATAGTGTTATTATATAACCAAAAAGTTTCATTGAAAAATTAACTTGAGTAAAAAAAATGAATACTGCGCTGGTTAGCTCCAACAAAAAAATTTTGCTTTTTGGTTTTATGGACTTATTCTTGAAGATTTACAACCGAGGAATTTAAATTTGTTGTCAAAAGTCGAAAGAAAATTTAGATGCTCCTTTTTTAAGTTGCAAAGTTGCATCTAAATTTTCAACTTTTTAATCAGATATTTTTTTGAGTATGCAGTTTATAAAACTAAATAAAGTGCAAGTTTTAAGTTGCTGAAAAATCGCGGTGATTTTTTATATGTTTTCCGACTGTATTACGCATTTTTTCCATAAAGAAAATATCTTCGAATAAGTATACTTTGGAAGGAAGGAAATGCCTTAAAAAAATGCCAAAAGTAAAATTTTGTAGCCACTCGCAACGTGCACAAGAACTGAATGGGCTATGAAACTGCACACCCAAATATGTACATACTTAAAATTTCGAAAAAAGTGTGAAATTTTGATGAAACCTTGTTGATTTCATTTAATTTTAATACAAAGTTTGAAACTTGGATTTAGATATATGAACTTTTTATAGAATGAACTATATATTTATAAAAAAATATAAAAAACTAAATACTAAAAAATAAATTCAAAACTTGTAAATATGTGGGTGTCGTATAAAGTCTCGAAAATCTTGAGAGTATGTAAACTTTTGCTAACCTATATAAATCTTTCAAGCTTTTGAGTTTTTCGAGTTTAAAGAAAAAAAGTTATAAAAAAATGTTTACTAAATAAAATTAAAAGTTTTTTTTTGAGTTTTTGTGTGTTCTTTTATTTTCTTTTCTAAATTTAATTTTCTTTCTTCTCTGTTGCTTTTCTTTATGGTTGGTATTCCTTTTTCATTTTTTTTATTTTTTTTTTGTTTTTGCTTCTGTATTTTCTGAATTTTTCTAAAGGTTTCAAGCTTTTGAGCTTTTAAAGTTTAAAGAAATTATAAAAAAAAAAATTTATAAAAAATTTTTTACTAAATACAATTAAATTTTTTTTTGATCTTTCAGTTTTTGTGCGTTCTTTTATTTTATTTTCTGAATTTAATTTTCTTACTGCTTTGTTCCTTTCCTTTTTGGTTGGTATTCCTTTTTAATTTTTGTTTTTTTCGTTTTTTTTTGTTTTTGCTTTTGTATTTTTAGATTTTTTCTTCTTTTCTCTTTTTGTTTCGTGCTTTAATAATTTGTTTATTTATTTTTTGAAACTCAATTATTTTAAGAAATTTCCACACCTAATATTTGGGAGACGGTTTCATTTCAAACTCTCAGCACATTACTCTTTTTTGTTTTGTTTATATGCTTTAAAGCTCTTTCAAAAAATTTACAGCAACGAAATTTTTATGACCTCTCACTAATGACTAAGTGTGCGTGAAACGAGGAATAGTCTAAGGCATTTTACGATTATATAAATAGTTGGTCCCTCTGGATTAAAAAAGTGCATCATAGAAGGGAATAGTGAATTGGTTTTACGAACAATTATAAAAAGAATTGGCTTATCTAGGGTTGATAAACACCACAACGCACAGCAGTCGACGAGCCCTTTTACAAAAGCACTGTGGTACCATTTTGGAAGCAGAAGAAGCGACTCTGCGTAAATCAAACAGCGTGTCAACCACGGTATGGGCTATAAAATTTTTTTTTTTTCGTGTGTGTTTTCTATTTTTATGACATTTTCGTTTCAATCGCTGAATGCCGACGACGGACGAAAGGAGTACAACTGAAATAGTTAATTGCACAAATGGCGCTGATGATGATTTACTCTTAGCACTTATTTTATAGTGTAAATGGAAGTCAGAGGACGTTGATAAAAATACTCGTAAAGGAATGTGAGCGATAAGAAAATGCAGGAGCAACAGTAATGAATGGCTGAATGAATAAAAACGGAATTGACTCAGCAACAAATTAACAATGAAGTCGAACGTACTGATCCCTTCTTCTACTACATATGTATGTACATACATAAAATTAAATGGAAATGCTAGAAATAAAAATACAAGAACGCACGCACGCATATATGTATGTAAAAGGAATGAAAAAAAAATTTGAAGGAGGTGAAGATACAGACAATACAGGCAACGGTCATGAATTATGTGATAT